TTCATTCTCTGATGAGAAAAATTTAACCTTGATGGTCCTGATGGCTTCCAACGCTACTGGCATGACAAGGAGATGCCACCTGAGATGTTTTCTACGTGGCACAGTGGAGGGGGCACCATCATGATCTGGGGTGCTTTCTCCTTTAATGGAACAATGGAGCTCCAGGTTGTGCAGGGGCGTCAAACAGCAGCTGGTTATGAGGAGATGTTGTAGCGGGTGTCCCTCATGACTGAGGGCCCTCGTCTGTGTGGTAATGACTGGGTTTTTCAGCAGAACAATGCTACAATTCACAATGCCTGTCTGATTTTCCAGGAGAATAGCATCACTCTTTTGGACTATCCTGCATGTTCCCCTAATCTAAATCCAATTGAGAACATTTGGGGATGGATGGCAAGAGAGATTTGTAAAAATGGACATCAGTTCCAGACAGTGGATGCCCTTTGTGAGGCCATCTTCAACACTTGGAGCAACATTCCCACTAGCCTTTTGGAAACACTTGCGTCAAGCATACCAAAACGAATTTTTGAAGTAATCAACAATAATGGTGGAGCTACTCATTACTGAGGCCCTGAATTTCCGTTTTATGAGGTGTCTAGTAGGGCCCAACTGATATGGATTTTTTGGGGCCGATGCTGATACCGGTTTTTAGGGATGAAAAAAGTCGGCCGATTTTTTACATTTTTAAAGTTTTCAAATTTTGCTAATTTAAGTAATATATCAACATATTTACTTATTTTTTTAACAAATGGCTGCGTTTGAGCCTTTCAAGCACTTCTCAGTAACATTAACCTCAGTAATATTCCACATATTTCTCATGAATCAAACTCGGATCAGAAAAGCGTTTTAGACTCACCCCCTGCGCGCCGATCGTTGCCTCCGCGTCTTAACTCATGTTACTCATTTCTGGTCCGGTCTCATCTGTAGACATGCAGCTGCCTGTTTATTCTACCGCTATTGTCACGGCTAACAGTGTAATAATAGCAGATGGCTAACTCTAACTTAAGCTTGCATATTACATGGTGCTTCACCATTAACTCGGCATGACCAAGACCAGCACAGCGGAGAACATCATGAAGTTGGTTGAACTGAAACTTGTTGACTTATTGTGTATTTCACAAGCTGGTTTATTTACCGTTGAGGCGGACCACTCTCCTCCATGCGTCCCTGAGCTGCCTGCTTCAGATCCGTCACTCTGAGGTGCTGTGAGGTAGTTAGTGGATGAAGATTGTCAAAAGGTCGCTGCGCCATCTACAGGATAAGTCGGGGAACTTTTCAAATCGCGGAATATTTTCGAAATGAAACCGAATCTTATTCTCCACATTTTATTTCTGAAAAAATTAGCAACAATTGGCGAGTTTTGGCTGATTAGTCTCAAACAGGCTAAAATTGGCCGATTTAATTGGCTTGCTGATAAATCAGTCGGGCCCTCGTGATTAGGTTTTTTTGAGGTGACAGAAGCTGCTTTCTGGGTCCAGGTCTGCTGCTTCCTCCGCCCCGCCCCCCTCTGACTCCATCAGGCTGAATGTTCTCTGTTCTGTTTATGCCACACGTTCTCCGGTGAGTCTCTCTTTCTCTCTCTCATGTTAGTGCCCTCAGAAAGCCTCCTCTGTGCAGCTGCTGATTCTGGATAAGGTAAATACACGCTCGGCTCATTATAACACACACACACACACACACACACACACACACACACACACACACACACACACACACACACACACACAATACCGCCACTGGCCCTTCATGTTCAGCTCAGAAACAAGGAGCAGGTTCAAGGCCAGCTGAGAGAAGAGGCCTGAAACTGGAGCTCTGTCTGAGAGATGGAGGTCTGACAGACTGTGGATGTCCTGTGTGTGAACTCGCCCTCTCTCTCTCCTCAGAGTCTGCAGCTTCATTCTCTGTACTCAGCTGTACTTTGACATCCAGAGTCTGAGAAACTGCGCAATAATTCACGAGTGACAAACTTATTCACTTTTTTTTTTCTTAGCTTCGTAACCACAGTTTAATTCTCTGACTCCCGCTTATGGTGGCCGAGAACCACCACAGCTGCAAATAAAAAAGAATGCCACAATGGAAGTTACAGATGCAAAAAAAATAAAGTTACTTACTCCAGAGATAAAAGGATGCAAATAAAAAAAGCCACAACAAAAGTGAGCCGCCGGGGACCAGTAATGGAAAAAAGTGTAGCGTGTGTAAAGCAACCGAAACGTAAAGGTACTGAACTCAATTCTCTTTTGGGGCAAAGTGGGTTTCCCCGTGTTAGCCAAAGCTAACACTACTCCAACATCCTACGGTTCAATTTCGTATCGACTCAGTTTGGAAGCAAGATCAGATTTGTACAAAAAAAGATCATAGTTTCATATATATAATTTGCAACACAACAAACATGACTATTGTGTAAAGAGTAACTTATCAGAAGACATTTTGACTGTAATTATTAGGTATTAGAGTTATTGTTGCTTAGACTTTGCTTTCTTTAAAGTAACCTCCTCTGGCTTTAACAACAGCTTGGCGTATACGAGGCATTCGTTCCACAAGTTTTTTAAGGTATGTTCCAGGGATTTCATTCCAAGCTTTCTTAAAGTTCATTAAAACGAGACTGCTGATTCGTGGGACGCGTTTTTCTGACCGTTCAATCCAATTCATCCCGCACAAGCACAATTGGAGAAAGGTCTGGAGACTGAGGGGGCCAAACCATCTTTTGAAGAACATCTTCCTCGTCTTTTTTGTCTATGTAACCCTTACAGAGCTTGGCAGAGTGCTTAGGTTCATTGTCTTGCTGCAAAACAAACTTATGAGCCACAAGAGAGGAGGACACTGACCAAACTGTTATCCATCATGGATCACCCTGACCACCCTCTCCACCTCATTCTGGACAGACAGCAGAGCTCCTTCTCCAACAGACACATACAGGAAATCTTTCCTGCCACAAGCTATTGCACTATTTAATAACTCAAATCTGTCAGACAGGGACTCACATCTGTCTGCTGTATAGTCCATTTTTAAAACTCCTACCACTTCACATTACTGAGCACCTTAAATTGTCTGTTTATTTATCATCCCATCTGCATATGTTTCGCATTTCATATTTATTACTCATTTCATATTTATTACTCATTTCAATAGCCCACATTCTTCATATCTCACTTTTTTCTCTTATGATGTTTAGTGTATTTAGTCTGTATTTATTGTATATATTTAGTATTTTACTTATTTTATTTATTTATTTATTTATCTATCAGGGACAGAGCACATTGATAAACATGCCAATTAATAAAATCAAAAGGCATGTAAATGCGCCAGAGCTAGTTTTCGTCTGTAGTCCCTGAGCAGGTTATTAAAAATGGTGTGACCATCCATATAAAATCCATACATTATAAAATACAGTGCAATACACATAATACAAATGGAGATACAAAGGAAATACAAAGTGGGTAAATAGAATATAGAAAATGGCAGTGGCAGTTACTCGTGAGTGCAAGTTTGATTGGCCTTAAGCCACCTCTTGATATTGGATTTAAATGTAGGGTAATGTGCGATGTCCCGGACTTTGCTGGGAAGACTGTTCCAGTGATTGGAGGCTCTTACAGAGAGGACAGATTTACTGAAAACACTTTTCCTAAACGGTACCAGGACGTCTCCTCTGGTGGTTGCTCTGGTGTTTCTTCCACCACTGCTAGCTCTCTGCATGAACTCTTTAAGTGGTGGAAGAGCAAGCCCATTTATCACTTTGAAAATAAGACATAGATCCATAAAACATTTAGAACTTTCAAAACTAAATAAGTTCTATTTTTGTACTATGTGGCAGTGATGATATCTGTTGGGTTTTTGATCCAGTACTTTCAGTGTGTGTTTGTAAAGTGACTTTATGGGTTGTAAAGTAGTTCTGTTGGACTGAGACCAAGTTGTTATGTGAGAAAATATCATTGCATGCATGAGCAGCTTAGCAGCATCTATTGTTAAGTATGGTCTGATGTGGCGGAAATTAGCCAGGTTGAATATGACTGTATTTGTTACCTTTTTCTACATGTTTTTTAAAGGTCAGGTGTGAGTCTAGTATGATTCCAAGGTATTTAAAGTCAGATACTACCTGGATACTGCTTCCTTTCACAAAAATGTCAGGATCTGGAAGTGTGGAATTGTGTGAGAAAAACATACGGACAGTTTTGTTTGTGTTTAAGTGTAAACATGATTTCCTCAGCCAGTCAGATACCTGCACCATGACCTCGTTCAGTCTGTCTGCTGCTAGTTGTTTGTTTTCAGCATGGGTGTAAATAACTGTATCGTCAGCATACATTTCTATGGAGACTGTTGGACAAAAAGAGGGCAGATCATTTATGTACAAGCTGAACAGGATAGGTCCCAATATCGATCCCTGAGGAACTCCATGGTTACAATCACAGTAAGTTGACTGAGAGTTGCCAATATGGACACTTTGCTTCCTGTTTCTTAGATAGGACTTGAACCATTTAATTGCTTCGGCAGAAAAATTGAAAGAAGAAAGTTTTGACAGGAGTACTTGGTGGCATACGGTGTCGAAAGCTTTTTTGAGATCCAGAAATACTGCCCCCACTGTACCACCATTATCCAGCCTGGACTTAATTCTTTCCAAGAAGTAACAGCTGGCAGTTTCTGTAGAGTGGTTGGCGCTTACGCCGAACTGCAGTGGGTGCAGAGGAGTGCTCAAGTGAGCCATTAACAGTTTGGCAACCCACTTTTCAGCCACCTTGGACACTACTGGCAAGATACTAATGGGACGATAGTTTGCTGCATTTGTTGGATCACCAGCCTTGAAGACTGGTGTCACTATGGCTGTTTTCCATGTACTTGGAAAACTGCATTGCCTGATTGATAGGTTTATCAGATGCACTATAGGGCAGGTTAATGCGCCTGTGTATCTTTTTAGAAATGTTGTGTCCATGTTGTAAACATCCTTAGCTTTGTAGTCTCTTAAAGAGCTCATGATCTCCACCACTGCAGTTTCTGTAATTTCCCCAATACTAAATATGGGCTTGTCCTCCTGACTCGTAGTACATGTCCAGGTTCTGGTGGAGAAGCTCTGAGCCAGCTCCTCCACTGAGTCCAGGACAATTAATGGCTGCTTCTGATGATTTTGACTTTAGCCATGTTTCTGAAAGGCCCAGGAAGTCCAGGTTAGAGTAAGATAGCAGGTGTTCAAGTTGAGTTTGCTTTGCATGGGCTCTACGGATATTCAAATGTCCACCCAACAGTCCTCTTGGTTTGGGCTTTGGGTCCCAGATTATTTTTGCATGATTGAATGTTTTGAAGATTTTCGTTTTGCTGTACTTCTTGATTGCTGGATTAAGTCCTTTAAGTTTTTGTTTCGTGGGGTGCTCAGAGGATGTCGCAGGGGTTGTTTGGTACCCACCACCACCGCTGGTCTGTATGGAAACATGTCTCATGCTGGCGATTACCTCCGTCATCAATGTCACGGGAACACCACCACCACCTGCTAATTGTGGAGATGGGTGCCCCACTCCCATGCCGTCGATCACCTCCGCCTCAGCCGCCGATGTCTCGATGGAATTCCCACAACCGCCGGTTGACTGCGGAGACAAGCGCCCCACTCCCTTGCCAGCGCTGATCACCTCCACGGCCGCAGTTGTAGATAGAGCCGCCTGTACTCCTGGTTCCTCCAGTGGTGATGAATGCGCCACACCAAGCGTAGCCACGGCTGTTTGTAAACACAGCAGGCGTCCCCCGTTGCACACCGCCACAGAAGCCCCGGACCCATGGACTAGATTGAGTGCACTTTGCACCTGCAGCAGTGACGGTATGGACATATCAGCTCCCTCTCCTCCGCCGCCGACTCCCCGCATCTGATGGTGGCCTCCGTAGGAACCCACATGGCAGCCACTCGCGCACGGTGCCGAATCAGCAAGATTAAGTTGTGCATTCAGTGCAGTGGTGGGAGTCAGTCCGCCATCGTCGATCAGGTGAGGTCCTGGGTTTGGCTGGATATCCCCAGCCAGTAGGAGAGTTGTTGTTAGGTAGAGGAGCACTCGAAGTGGTTGATTTTGTCTCTTTTCTCCCTGTCGAAGTTGGTGGAGTAGCATGGCCGTTGTTGAGCAGGGTTGAGTAGGTTGCATATTGGCTCCATGTGTTGAGGCTGAGAGTGATTTCTAGACGCTGTCCTATGTTGAAGGTGAGGAGATGGAGGACAGTTTTTAGTATTTTTAGTCTGCACTATACATACTTCTTATATTTAATTTTATTTTGTATTTCTTTGCTGCTGTAACATGAGAATTTCCCAGTTTGGGATCAATAAAGTCTATCTATCTATCTATCTATCTATCTATCTATCTATCTATCTATCTATCTATCTATCTATCTATCTATCTATCTATCTATCTATCTATCTATCTATCTAAAGTCCAGATGGAACAGCATGGTGCTGGAGGATGGAGTGGTACTGTTCCTTCTTCATGATACCCTTTCCTTCAAACAAATCTCCTACTCCATCACCTGCAAAACATCTCCATACCATGGAACTACCACCTCCATGCTGAATTGTGGGTGTCACACATGGTGCTTTCAGACGTTCACCAGTTTTTCTGCGGACATAGACTCTGCGTTTTGAACCAAACAGTGCAAACTTGTTTAAGTTCGATTTTTGTGAGCTTTTGCCCACTCATATCTCTTTTTCTTGTTCTGTGGACGAAGTAGTGGTTTTTTCACAGATACACAACCCTTCAGACCAGCCTTTCTCAAACGTCATTTCACGGTTGTCAGAGATATGGGTTTCGACCTTGTCATGTTGATTTCCTCCCTTATTTTTGGTGCTGTCTTTCGCCGATCTCTCTTACTGGTGACAATGCTATGTTTATCCTCTGCTGTCCAGGTCTTTCTCTATCATCATAATTTCCAGGTTCCTCTAGTCTCTTCAGAGTGTAGTGGACTCCTTTATTAAACACCTTTAGGTGTTTTGCAATTTCTCTTTCTGTGTATCCTTCTTTCCTCAATGTACAAATCTGTACTTTTGTTTGAACATAGTTGAGATTTATTAGGATTTTTATTTGCAGACTCTCAAAAGCCAAAAAGTTGAAGTAAATAATCCAACTGTGATTTGTTTTTTTGCTTTTGCACTGAAGTTGTGACTCTTGCAAATGTTTTCAACCCTAAAACTAAGCCCTTATTATATTTTGCTGACATATATTTAGCAATGGTCTGTTAACATCAATGTATATCTATAGGTAAATGGAGTAAAACGGTGCATTTCCATGAATGCAACCTCTGATCATGGAGTAAATACATCCCAAAATACATAAAACTCATGCTGGATTTTAAAAAAAGCATTGTGAACAAAAAATTGAAGTTACTCCTGACTGTTCGGCCTGTAATGGCCTTGCTCCCAAACTTTTGGCCTGTAGTGTACCTGCAACAAACAGAACAAGTCTGCTAAAATAACGAGATCATGGTGCAGATTTCACTGATTCTCAGTTTCATTGTAAATTGTAACTAAAGCACTTCACTCTGACTTTCTTCAAGTGTATATTGAGATCTGCTCATGATAAACATGTCTTAACTTTGCTGAAGAAGCAGCATCATAACACAGATTTCTGGTGGGTCCCAGTTTCACTGTTCAAGGTAAGTTACACAGGGGCTTCACTCTGGTTTCTTTGGGAATATGATGACAAAAAAGAAACTGTTCTGTTTTTCAACCTGTAGATAATGAGTCCAAAATTTGTTTAATTCCTATCTCTGGTGGGTCTCAGCTTCACTGTTAAAGCGAGTTACACTGAAGCTTTACTCTGACCTTTTTTCAGCCATTTTAAACCCCTGATGGATTTACTTTTAAAAAAAAGAAAAAAACTTGTGCTGAGGCAGCAGCATCATAAAGCAGACTTCTGTTGGGTCCTAGTTTCACGGTAATGGTTAGTTATACAGGGATTTAATCCTTCTTTCTTTAGGTGGACTAACCCTCCCAAAAAAACTGTTCTCCAGTTATTTTTTAATTAGCAGGTTATCAGTTCACTGGAACAATGTCTTGATGCAGATTTCAGGTGAGTCCCAGTTTCACTGTTCATCATTATTACATTAAAGCTTTACTTTGGTTTATACCTATAGTATGATCCCAATAAAGGAACATACCTTTCTCTTATAAAGTCTAATTAAGGAATAGACAGTTTGCTGATATAGTGACTTCATTATGCAGATTTCTGCTGGGTCCCAGTTTCTCTGTACATGGACGGTTACACAGGGAGTTAATCTAGCATACTTCCGCTGTAAAAGAAACTAGTTTTCTTTTGATCATTTTCCAATAAGGGGTCAAATGTTTGCTGAAATAATAACAACATGGTGCTAACTTCTGGTGAGTCTCAGTTTTATTGTACAAAACCAAATTCCATTGAAGTTGCGAAATCATGATAAACGTAAATAAAAACAGAATACAATGATTTGTGAATCCTTTTCAACCTATATTCGATTGAATACACTACAAAGACAAAATATTTAATGTTCAAACTAATAAAAAAAAAAATTCTGCAAATAATAATTAACTCAGAATTTCATGGCTGCAACACATGACAAAGTAGTTGGGACAGGGGCATGTTTACCACTGTGTTACATCACCTTTCCTTTTAACAACACTCAATAAATGTTTGGGAACTGAGGAGACTAATTGTTGAAGCTTTGAAGGTGGAATTCTTTCCCATTCTTGCTTGATGTGCAGCTTCAGTCTTTGAACAGTCCAGAGTCTCTATTGTCGTATTTTACGCTTCATAATGCGCCACACATTTTCAATGGGAGACAGGTCTGGACTGCAGGCAGGCCAGTCAAGTACCCGCACTCTTTTACTACGAAGCCACACAGATGTAACATGTGCAGAATGTGGCTTGGCATTGTCTTGCTGAAATAAGCAGGAAGGGCGTCCATGAAAAAGACATTGCTTGGATGGCAGCATATGTTGCTCCAAAACCTGTATGTACCTTTCAGCATTAATGTTGCCTTCACAGATGTGTAAGTTACCCATGCCTTGGGCACTAATGCACCCCCATACCATCACAGATGCTAACTTTTGAACTTTGTGTCAATAGCAGTCTGGATAATTCTTTTCCTCTTTGGCCTGGAGGACTCAATGTCCACTATTTCCAAAAACAATCTGAAATGTGGACTCGTCAGACCACAGAACACTTTTCCACTTCGCATTAGTCCATCTTAGATGAGCTCAGGCCCAGAGAGAAGCCGACAGCGTTTCTGGGTATTGTTGGTATTGTTGACAAAGCTTTCGCTTTGCATAGTAGAGTTTAAACTTGCACTTACAGATGTAGCGACAAACTGTATTTACTGACAGTGTTTTTCTGAAGTGTTCCTGAGCCCATGTGGTGATATCCTTGACACACTGATGTTGGTTTTTGAAACAGTGCCGCCTGAGGGATCGAAGGTCATGGGCATTAAATGTTGGTTTCTGGCCGTGCCACTTACATGCAGTGATTTCTCCAGATTCTCTGAACCTTTTGATGATATTATGGACCGTAGATGTTGAAATCACTAAATTCCTTGCAATTGTACTTTGAGAAACGTTCTTGAACTGTTCGACTATTTGCTCACACAGTTGTTCACAAAGTGGTGAACCTCGCCCCATCCTTGCTTGTGAATGACTGAGAATTTTTGGGAAAGCTGCTTTTATACCCAATCATGGCACCCACCTGTTCCCAATTAGCCTTCTCACCTGTGGGATGTTCTGGTTAGGTGTTCGATGAGCATTCCTCACATTTCTCAGTATTTTTTCTCACCTGTCCTTACTTCTTTGGCACGTGTTGCAGCCATCAAATTCTAAAGTTAATGATTATTTGCAAAAAAAAAAATAGGTTTATGGGTTTGAACATTAAATATCTTGTCATTGTAGTGTATTCAATTGGATATAGGTTGAAAAGGATTTGCAAATCATTGTATTCTTTTTTTACTTACATTTATCACAATTTCCCAACTTCAATGGAATCGGGTTTTGTATATATAGCGCTACACAGATGCTCTACACTTCCCTCCTTTAACGGTGTGATCCCATTTTTCCTGTTATCTTATGATCTTGTTTGAAGTGAGGGCTCTAAAGTTTGCTAAAATAAGAACATTATGATGCAGATTTCTGATGAGTCTCAGTTTCATTGTGAATCGTAAGCTACTGCTGATTGGAGCTGGGACATCATTACACTGGATTGTATTCTGCCTACTTTAGCTCTCCATACAGACTACTGATACCAAAGCCTGTTGATATCCAGTATCAGTACTTTTTGATCCAAAAAACAGACTAAAACCAGAGACCAGACCATGTTTATGTAAACACCGTCATCGACACCATGTGGAGAACAAAATCTCGAAGAAAGAGACACCAAAGTACAAACAAGAAAAAAAGATCTTGAAGTATTTCATCATGTGGGCGAGCTGACCCCCTTTCAGTGTGAACACCGATAAACTGATTTGGAGCGTATCATGTTTAAACCGTCCCACCCAGTTTTTTATTTTATAAGAAATCTGTTCAAACACACTGAAGGGATTTCATCCATCTCAGCTGGGTGTGGCTGAATGTTGCAGAATTATTGCAGATCTATTTTACATTATTTTGGCATTTGTACTAGAAGTGTTGTCTTTTCCTTTTGAGGAACTTGTACTTCACGTCTTGAGCAGAGGAAGAAGACGACGAGGTGGGAAATGAGTTAATGGAAGAGATACAGGTTTTCCTTCAGCCGCTATCTCTGCACACACATGTGAAACAGGAGACTCACTCGGAGATAAGCTGAGACCCAGCGGCTCCTCATTCACACTGAACCATCACTGCTGCTGAGAACTCTGTGGGAAATACGTGATAGAGCTGAGGACGGGGTCAGAGATCAACAGGGGCAGAAAACCTTTGAAGAGGCCGAATTTATGTGAGCAGGAAGGATTAGCAAACAGCGCTGGAACATTTTCTGAAATATCCTCAACAAACAAGATATATATGTACCCGATTTAAATATCCAAAGTCAGAGGTGAAGAATGTCCCTGACAGCTGCTGCAAATGTAACGCTCTCTGATAATTTATGATAATTTATGGTAAGAAATGTTTAAAAAGTGGAACAAA